TACCAAGTGGAATCAATATATAAAACCATGTGCAGATTGAGAGTACAACTCCACAAACGACCATCTACATGAATACATTTTCTTTATGTTTTCAACTGACATATTTTTGTTGACACCCAGAATATCGTAGACTATCATCCTCAGTGCCAATAATTCTTGTAATCTGAACAAAAGAAATAAGTTCAGTCCCATGCACCATGCAGACACAATATAGAGTTGTAATTAGCAACTAACGCAAATGCATGCTATGTAGGAGATGATTAAGGAATCTTCTTATCATTTTATCAGCATATTAATAGAAATGTATAAGGCTTTATGAGTTGAGGATATAAATGGGCATAGAGTTAAATATTATGTGTGAAAACAGAGGTTTCCTGACGATCAGGAAAGGGGAGAGAGATTAACCTCTTCAAAACACTCTGCCCCATCTACAGACTCAGCTTCGGTGACCACAGCAAGTGGTGGAGGTCCAAGTGTCCAATAAATAATTCAAAGTCAAAACAGATTTCAGACCATTAAAACAAAATATAGTCTCATTCATTATATATCAGCAAACATGAAAATCGGAAAGTTAACAACTTCAGCATTGAAAAAGCTTTTGAAAAGATTTGACTCTGCTTCAGTTTAAGGCACAACAATAAATACATAAAATTCATCTCAGGCAAATTTATTTAAAAAAGAAAAATAATAAAACCCAGAACAAAAAAATTGTTAAAAAAATGATATCTACGAGAATTTAAACCCCGAAATTCTCTTTACCAAGCAAAAGAGAAAGAAATCAAAGTGTCCTGCGAGTTTTCTTCTATGAGTTACAAACTAAGTTGGGGCTTAGAGAACATCAAAGCCCGAAAGATAACACCCAAACTTAGCATGCAATTGAGTTATTTAACTAAAACTTCACTACTAAAAACATGCCCATAATAAATAAAAAAACTTAACTGATTACAGAAATAGGGCAAAAATCAATAATTAACGGTACATACAGATTACTGAACATACAAATCGATCTAACCATTAAAAACGAAAGAAGAACGGAAAAAGAAGAAGAAAAAACTAAACTTGATCACTACAGTAGAAGCCTCCATAACTTACAACAAAATCCCAGATTCACAAATCGGTTTCCGCCTTTCTGGATGAACCTCCTCCTTTCTGGACGAATATTCAAGTGCTGAAAATCAAAAGATTAGGGCTTCTGTGCAAGTGTGCGGCGGGAGAGAACGGGAGTAGAGAGAGAGAAGAAGAACTGAAAAATGAACATGCTAGGGTTTCTTTCCCTTTTATATTTAGTCGGTTTTTTTTAAATTTTTTATGTTGGTCGGGTCGGGTTGGTTTGGGTTCTACCGGGTTATCTTGCTTAACCCACGAACCGACCCAATCCGACCCGATAGCTTAACCCACTACCCGAAACTCGCCTAAAAACACAAAAAAACCGACCCAACCTGGTCGGGTTGGGTTGGGTTGGGTCTGTCGGTTTTTGTGGGTTGGATTGGGTTTTGCCCACCCCTCATACGAGTAAAATTTCAGACTATTTATGGAACCCCTGTCAAGACTGCGTCGTTGCTAGCGGAGCTGAGGATAACATATTACAAATTTGGCAGATGGAGGAGAACATCTACCATGATGAAGATGATCTACCTGGAGATGACTCAATTAAAGGTTCTTAATTCTTGCCTTTTCAATTTAGGCAGTAAGTGAAAGGGGCTAAAAGATGATCAGAACATTAGGTTGTTTCAATCTTAAAATTTTTTCTTACATCCGTATCAGTAAGGTGAGTTTTGATGTAAAGCTTCTGTTTGTTTCTCATTTTTCATCTATAAAAATGAAAAATATGATCATTATTCATCACATCAAGCCATCAATTTTGAATTTCTATCTCTTGTGTGGGGCCCAATAACGACTATATTTTTCATTCTCATTCTACAATAATGAGAATCAAACGGGCCCAAACTAAACTTCATTTTTTTTTTATATTTT